GAATTAGTGATGGTTCCCACTGATAAAAGTTGAAAAGGAAAAGAAGGAATGTAAAGAGCTATTGACTCTATGTGTTTTGAATGTAAGTTGACATTTCCCTTTCCTACAACTAAGGCACTTTTACCATTAGCTACTAACATTGGAGAAGATTTTGACAATTTTTTAAAAATATGCAAGTTAGGGTTTTGATGTGATCCGTGGCTCCTAAGTCTATGATCCAATAATCATACTCATTACTGGCATTTAGGGCAGTGAAGAAGGCACTTGAAATACCTGGGATATCTTTATGCGAAACATGATCATGTTCAGCCAAGAAACCAACAATCTTCCAAGTAGAGATGTGTGATTCTTCTCTTCAGCTACATGAGCTTCATCTCCATTGTTATGCACCTGTTTGTTGTGGAGGTATGTTGCAAATTCATTAATTAGTGCAGCAGGATTGGCAGTGAAGTTCACCATTCCCTCAGTAAAAAAAGGTAGCAACATGATTGGCTTTGTAAGCATTGTTGTTCAGGTTTCTCTATAAACTCTTTGTCTCCTTCAAGAACTTGGGCTTCAACTCTGGATAAAGAGTCCAACATTTGTCTCTTGTATGCCCCAAGTGTGTCATAGTAGTTGCACTTCAAATCAGATCTTTTCCCTTGTAAACTTTGCCCTTAAATAGATTGTTGCTAAAGACATAAGCCCTAGTTTCAGGGATAATGGCTTTAGTCTCTTGGCTCATGACTTTCTTCTTTTACTTCTTCCCTTTGGATGATGGCACAAACACTAGTGAAGGAGGAAAGCTCAGCATTCTTAAAACGTGGCTTCTGAGATCCTCAAATTATGGACCTAAGCTTGCAAAGAACTGAAAGATCTTGTATTCTTCAGCTTTCTTGGTCAACACAGTGGTATCTAAGGTGTGAGGACGATAAACATCGATCTCATTCCACATGCTTGTAAGGCTGCCAAGGTGTTGAACAAAGGTTTTTCCCCCTTGTTGTAGGCTCGAGATATCTTTCTTAAGCTGGAAGACACGTGCAACATTATTTTGATTTCCATACATCTTTTTAACTTGCTTCCAAAGATGTATATATGACTCAAAATAGCTAAAAATTTCAGCAATCCTACACTCCATGGAGTTGAGCGACCAAGACATGACCAACTGGTCTTTACATAGCCACGACTCATAGGCGGGAGAAGTCACTGCAGGAACTTCGATGGCATCATTTACATAGCCTAGCTTTGATCTCCCTCCAAATGCAAGAGAAATAGCATGAGTTTAGGGAAAGTAGTTGAATTCATTCAACAAGACAGAATTGAGACGTTGATTATGGTTGATCTCAACTTGGGGCTGAAGCAGCCAGCAAGCTTTCAGCTTCAAAGGAGTTTTCTTCAGCCATCTTGGCTTAAAGTGAAAGGGACTCAGCGGAAACAGACAACAGAGACATAAATTTAGGGTTCCTGCTCTGATACCATATTAAATTTTTTATGTGTATTTCATAATGGAACCAGATACAACAGAAAACATATATAGGAGGAAGGATTAAGGAGAACAAGGTGCGATTTTTTTTTTTTTTCTTCCCCTTCTTAATTATTAGCTAAATTTTTGTTTAATTAGTCGGTACCTGGTTTCTCATTGTGATTTATTAAATGATTGAGTTTTGTTGTGCAGGCGGATAACGTACTGAACCTTGCTTCAGAATGAAACTCCGGCAAAGGGCAAAGCTGCAGAAGCGGCGTTAGCCATTGACGCACAACTTACTCCTCGTCCAAGCGGGCAGCAGCAGAAGCAGCTTATGGATCCATGCTAGTCTCACTTTCCCTAAACAAGTTAGTATTTTAAGCAAGTGTCCTTACGTATTTTATTTTTATGAATTGTGCAGATCTGCCAATTTCTCGTTCTCTTTCATTGAAAAGGTTTCTCGAGAAACGCAAAGAGAGGTAAATCCACACACGAATTTCTTGTTTTGTATGTTTTAAACAAGTATAAGCACTTAGTAAATCTGAAAATAATAATCCATCTTTGGTTTTGGATATGATTTACAGGTTCATGTAGAAGAAGGAGACGAGACACTGTGACTCGTATGCTTGCCAAATATTATTCAATCAATTATTATTTTTAATTTATTAGGATTCTTTTACTTTGAAGTTCGTAGCTGTTGATGATCATATGGCAATGTGGTCGAGGACGAAGAGCTTGGCAAGAAAGTTCGTAGCTTTTTTTGTTGTTATTTCAACTTTGCCACTTTTGCTTCGCTGTCAAACGGAGAGCAGAATGGTGACGCGTGGATCTTCCCGGCTTCTTCTCCTCTGCCTCTTCGCCTCATCTGGCAAACCATCGTCATCTTCAACTCTGTTGCTCACAATTAGCAAACAAATATTCGAAACCTCAACCAATAAATCGAAGAAAACCTAAAACCCTCAAATCAGCAAAGCGAATTCCCACACGTATCCGAACTTCGAAACAGACAAATCAATTTCAAGTGTTAAGCGGCTAGGTTCTAGGTCATCTAATTCTGGCGAGCTGTTTTCGTACGAACGCCGGCGAACCGTACGGTGTCGCCGTCTTGCCTTGGACTTTCAGTTTCGAATTCCAATTTAAGGTATGAGTGGGTTTCAAATTTATTTAGACAAGATTTTTAACAATCCAAGTGAACATCGAAGCAGCTATCCATCCATGAAGCAGAGTGGGTAGGATCAATTGCTCCTTTTACAAATTGTAATCACTGCCAATTTTCCCACTTGTACAAACTTATTTCTACAAGAATTTTTTTTTGTTTTGATCTCATTTTTCTCTGTTTAGCAGTCAATGAATGCAGACTCCAAACGCTACTCCATCACTTTGTTTCTCGGCGATGGCATTGGCCCCAAATTCATCTCCGTCGCCAAGAACGTCCTCAACATCTCGCCGCCTCCATCGATGGTTGCTTTTAATTTCGCTTCCGTTTTCTTTTCTTTCTTTTTTTTTTTTCTCAATTTTATTTCGATTTTACCTATTTGGTGTCTGAGAAACGGTGGGAAAATTGAATAAGGAAAGTCTTTTAATTTTCCCACATTGTATCTGGGTTAATGTTTAACATTTTGAGCTGCTCTGCGTGTTGTATAATCGAGTTATTTTGCTGGGAAATTAGTAATTTTATAACATTTGGGTATTTTTCATGAATATGTTGCATGTGTGCCCTGACTGCTTTCCACTTAATCAGCTCAGTCGTTATCTTCTTCTTCTTCTTCTTCTTCTTCTTCGCACAACTCCCTCATCTTCTTTTTCTTCGTACAGCAGCTTCACTTGAAAAAATCATCTCTCTCAACACACGACGCACGAAGGTGAGCTATTCTAGGTTTCGGTTCATATTCAATTATCCCCAATTTCAAAATTTTAATTTTAGGTAATTGATTCATATCCATGTTGCATTTTTTTCTTCCTGATGGTCATCTGAGGCTGTACGAACTGGAATTGTTGTGGATAAGCTGGAATTTGGTCAAATTTGGGTAACAAGTGTGAAACTCTGATACTAAATTTACTAACTTGGTTGCCGTCGATATTTCCATTGCCGAATTGATCCATTTGAATCGTGCAAGTCGTTCCCAATTGCAGACATGTGCTAAATTGATATGTCTGTAGTATGTGTATGTATACATGTATATGAATACGAGCCGTGGCTAATACATCCACTCAAAATGGTTTTGTAGTCAACACAACCTTCATGTACGGCCTTTTTAAAATGAGGGTGGATTACTTCTTCTCTATGTCACTACACTAGCTACACCCAATCCTGGATTTCTTGAGTAGCAACAATAGTCTTCGTATATAATACACTTATAGCAACCACGGAGTCCTGCAGTGGGTCTCTCGATTTTCAACGAAATTAAGTTGATTTACTATTTTACTGCCTCTTCTTCTTCTTCTTTTTATTGTTTTTTATTTTTTATTTGTTGTTGTTTGAATGCAATGAAATTTTCAATTTTGGTGTGGAGATTTTGAGTGGTGGAGGACATCACGTTATTTGATTACATTCCATTCTAATTTGTTGTTTTGGGAAATACGGTGATTTGTTTATCATTACTTAATAGAATAAGTAGTTCGTCTTATGTATACTAAAATACTATTTTGGTATGCAATTTAACAAAGCATAAAAATTGAAATGGGTAGTCCGTATTGGTATCAGTCTTATTCTCATGTTCTAATCTTTCCATTTTTTCAACCCATTTCTTGGGTAAATTCTCCCAGTTAAATATGAAAATGAATACAAAGTGATCCTTTTTCCGTGTGTCATGTTATGTAAAGTTTCTCTATATTTAGCCTTTTATATTTCAATACATACACTTCTCAAGGAACCGCAAAATTGCTTACAAATACCTTGACTAGGCATGTTCTTCACTTGGGTGAAGAAATAATTGAGACTTAATACACCTAGCTATGTTCTTTAATGTTGATACTTGTAAATCTATTGTACGCGAATGTTTACTCTTCATTTTAGTTATTCACTTCAACATCATCGGTATGGTTAAAAGTTATAATGCTATACGACGTTGATTTCATATGCAGCTTTCATTTGATGCCAGAGGGAATAGTAGAGTTCGGTTTGGTGGAATTGGAGTTTAACAACTTAATGGTGGACGATTGATAGGTAAACATTTTAAATTCTACCACAGATTACCACAGATTACCATTAAGCAAATATTTCTGCTGTAATTTTATAATTGCACCACAGATTACCATTAAGCAAATACACATTATAGAGTCCAACTTTTTTTTCCTCCTTTCTCATGTCCCAGAAGCTGCAATTTTCCTTATCGAAGATGGCAGAAATCCCAACTCCTTGAACAATGAACAGTACATGCGGCACACAAATAAGATGTAGCATGGTATTTTTCTCCAGTTGGTGGGAGCTTTAACTTGATGCAGTGTGCAATCAAAGTAAAGGACCAATTGACATATCTCTTAAAGTTCACGAGTCCGACGGTCAAAGAGACGTTTGCTAGGTAAATATTGTGTACATACACATCGAGCATCCATCTTTGGTATGAAAATATGACCATCCACCAAATTTATTTACATACTTTTATATGTAAATATTATGCATACACATCAAGTTTTATTATCTTTTGTATGTAAATAAACAGAATTTTCGTAGTATTTTCAACCCTGCAGCATCGCACGGGCATCCATTGCTAGTTGATAACTAAAGGAGAAAAGTTATATATTGTTCTTTGGACAAGAAGCATAAAGGAAAACAAAACATAAAGTTGCTACCGAGATGGTTGCTTTACCTTATTCTTCTTAAATCATAGCCTAGCATTCACTTCTGCGTCTGAGATCCGTAGTTCGATTTCCCACTCTTCCAATATCGCTAGAGAAATTAAATAAAATTCATAACCTTGCATTTAGGAGCTGCTGATTGAGGAGAGGTTTGATGTATTCAGGATAGCCATCAGTTACAACTGAGTCATTGAGCGGATCTTTCCAAGCCTCATCATACAGTTTTGGATACACATTCCCATCGTAGCATCCAAGAATTGAGCCAAGAAAATGGTCAGTGTAATTAAATGCATCAACAAGGGCAATAACATTTGGACGAACCTCGGCATACAGAGCTCTAAGTTGATCATTGGCAAGTGAAGCTTGCTTGGGATTCAAGCTACCCGTGGAAATAAAATCCCCTGAATATTTGTGAATCAGATGCAAAGCATATAAGTAGCAGAGGGTCTCCAATTGTTGTTTTACTCCGTTTCCTTCAATTTTCTGCTGCAATTTCTCAATGAATTTGGAGACAACGATCAACTGGCAGTGAGCAATTGCAGCCTCTACTAAATCTGGTGAGAGTTCAGAAAACCCTTCTGATGGATCTGCAAACTTGGCAAGATTTTGAGCACAAGCAACACACATTCTAATGGCCCTTGCTTCGAATACCTTGAGTATTACATCGGCTTTCAACCAGTCCTCGGCTTTTTCAACACTACAGCAATATTTGATCAAATAATGATCCATCAGAGCCATATAAGCCATTGTTCCAGAAAGCTTATGAGTTTGATCCGAATGCGGAAGCTGAGAAATAGTCTTCATGAGGAACCTTGCAACCTGCAAAAGCAGAACAGTGTTGTCCCCTTCATACGTACACGCAGGTGCGAAAACAGCATATAACTCGGGAAGCCCGCTGCTATTTAGGTATCCATGGCCACCACATAGTTTCCGGCATTCTTCAATCCCATGAACAGCTGAAGATGTAGTCAAGGACTTCAAACCCGCCGTGCATGCATGAGCTTCAGCTAATGTTGAAAAGTCATTCGCTTCCAGTTTTTGTGTCAAATCGGTATATAGGCTTTTCAGCCACTCACCAATGAATCTGAAAGCATAGGCAGAAGCTAACAGAGAAAAAAGTCTACTTTGCTGAGTCTTGTACTCAATCACTGGGGTCTCAACCGCGATACCATTAATCTCACGATTTTGTGAACCAAATTGTCGACGAACACTGCTATATCGAGCAGCTATACACACTGCTCTTGATAAAGCAATTGAAGAATCAACTACAATAACTTTCCTCACATAAACCATAGTTCCATAAAGCAGCTGCCTAGGAACATTGGACAGCACATATTTTCCTTCTCTTGTGACATGTGCCACCCTCATCAGCATTTGATTTCTTGGTATTCGCACGTGATCAAATCTTAGAACACCATTGTCCACGGAATTGAAAGCTCCGCTTCCAAATTTTGTTCCTATATCACCAACTGTTACGCCCGGAAGAGGCAAGTGATCATCCAAACTCCGAATTTGGACAATGAAGCCATTCACGCCATGATCTTGGCCGTCATGAGTAATAACCCGGGCATAGACAACAGCGTGAGTTGCAATCTTCCCCAATCCACCAGACCACCATTTGCTCGAGCTGAGTGTAGGACTATGGATGATGAACTCGTCAGTCGTTGGATCAAATGTCGCGGTGGTCTCAATCCCTTGAACATTCGAGCCATGTCCGAGTTCAGTTTGTGCATAAGTACCAATTATGCGCATCGTGGTTGCCAACGGCAACCACTTGTTTTGCTGCTCTTCCGTGCCTGACCCTTTGATAGCGGGCACAAACATTCCCCAATGAATGTAAGCGAATGTCAGTTCATCCACATAAAACCATAGCCACGAAGCCTCTTCATCTGAAAGCCCAAGCTCAATGATCCTTTTCCAGGAATGAGCAGCTTTTTTCAGAGCCTTTGTGAACAACTCCTTCCTACTTAGCACAGCTCTATTCTCCCGTCGAAAGCTCGGATCACTAGCCACGAGGTGAGCCATTCGATCAGAGACTCGAAATTCGTGGGGAGAACCCGCCCAGACGATCTTCATTGCCTCAACATCAAACTTAGCCTTGCTCCTCTCATGCGCCAAATGATCTGAACAAATCATTTCATACAAACACAAAGTTGAACAGTATATGTGTTAGCATAGAAATCACAAACACCAAGACCAAAACATGAACTACAACTTAGAGAGAAATAAACAGTTTATGTATATGAGAAAACCAGCAAGAAGAGCATACCTGCACCAGTTGCAGAACTCGAGGCCATGGCAGCAAGCTTTCAGTGTGCCTTCTGTTCTCTCGCAGATTATCAAGAGCTCGACTTATAGGTTTAAGTCCAAATATGAGCGTGTGTTCTTTGAGAAGAGAGGCCACTATATATATACATATAATCTTTACCATAACAGATTAGGATTCCCTATTAAAATCCATATAGGAAACAAGTGCTCGTTTCCTTGTTCTGATCTTAGGGCGCGTTTACATAACCGTAATCAAAGTAGAGGAATTGGATTGAGAAACAGTCAGAATCAGATTCATGTTGAAGGTGTTTACTTAAATATTCTGGAATCAGAGTAAAAATGAAACGAAATTCATATAAGTTGTTTACCAGTTCACCTGAATCGGAATGAAAATTAATATGATTAGTAAAAATACCCTTAATCTAAATAATAGAAAAATTCATAACTTTTTAATACAATTTCACACACACATAAATACATACATACATACATACATATATATAGTTTTATTAAAATATTAACAATTCCCGTTGGAAAATATTGGAAAATATTGATGCATTTTTTTACACTGAAATAAGTCTCCCAACAGCTTTCTAGAACCCACGGTTCTCTACATCATTATTTTTTTTTCTATTTTTTTTTTTCAATTCCTTTTCACGTCGTTCTCTCCGTCCGTTCAACACTGTCTCGCTTGCCACCGTCAATACAATGGCGTCCCAAGTGGGAACTCGGGTCAGGCGCCTTATCGACAGCCTGAGGTGGTACCATGATTTTCGAAGCACAGCTATCATGTCAGCCTTTTGTTAGGATCATGAGAATTTGGTATCCATTTTCCGGGAATCTGAGAGAAATCTTGAGTGGTGAGACTTTCAGACGTGAATCTCTCAGTACGCTAATACTGATGGACCAATCATTTAACAGAAAAGCCGAACAGGTGGTGTGATAATGTCGGCTCATCCGGCAGTGGGTCGTCGTCGATTTTTGTCGGTAAAACAGCTAATAGAACATCCTCTCTCTCAGTCTCTCTAGCTATTTCTCATTCTCTCCATCTAAGCTTCAACTTTCTAGATTTGACGGGCGGCATATTGTTGAAGGGTAGCAGCAAGCCTTCCATAAACACGTCAGCATACCCAGTTTTATGCAGGTTCGAAAGATTTGAGGGGCGAAATCTGGACTTTTAGTGGTGATTTCAGATGAGCGGAGGGGCGATCCTTCTGTAGCTTCGCCAGTGGGTGATAGGTCTTGGCAGTCTGGGAGGTGGTGCGATGGTCTACATTGGTTAAGGGTGGGGATGGGTGTGTGCTTTGGGTGGTTGAATCGTGGGAGGCAGATAGGAGAGGCAGGGCAATTTCGGTAAAGAAGTTTGATTATGGATGTTAGCTTTCTTCCGAAATTCAATTGTCACCTTCAAGTCAGTATTTGGATTCCGAGGATATCAGGAATCCAATTACTGATTTTGGGTAGAGCCCACTAATTTTTTCATTCCCAAAATTTGGTAAACACCGGAATCACTTTGAGAAGAATTCAATTCCATTTCTTCTACCTTCATTCCGGTTTTGTAAACATGCCATTAATGCTATACAAAATCCCTCTTTAGTCAACACTCCATTAATACTATACAAAATCCCTCTTTGAGAAGGATTAGCATTCCTTTTATCAACAAGATTTTCTATCAAATTGAACACCTATAGCCGGTCCTAAAACTTCTCTATCTCATACTCATATTCTTACAATATAATAATTTAAAATTCAATTGACTATGCCTTAAGACCATCTCCAAAGGAGATGTCAAATTATAAGAATCAAATTACAATCACAAGTAGAAAAAACTATTTGTGCGACAGAATTTTAAGCGACGAAGCAAAATTCGTCGTTAAAGGTAGTATAGCGCAACGAAAAAGAGACATCGTCGTGCAAAATTGTCGAACATTGCGTAACGACAATTTTCATCGCAAACAGATCTTTGCAAGATGAAAAAACAACGTCGTCGCGCAAACCAAGGGAAAGAACGCAAGTCTTTTTTTGGCGGCAAAAACAATGCACACGAAACATTTCCAGCTGAAGTTTTTTACTTTAGACGATCAGTTATCTGAGTCAGAGGATTCAAAAACTTAGTTTCCCATTTGAGAATTAGTTGGATTTCGCGCATGGATGCGAAAGCATGACTGCGGTCTAATTAATTCTTGAATTGTCCCATTTTTTGGACAATTTAGGAATGCATAGTTATGCGTCGTAGTTTGTGGTTCACAGATTAGATTTCGATAAGGAGAAATTTGGTAGTATATCTATGCATAGTGTTGCGTATGTATTTAATATATACGTGCTGCAATTGAAGAATTGTAGTGATATGGTACCAAATTTCTTCGGCGTCGAAATCTAATCTGATAGAGCCGTAAAATACGACACGTAGCTATACATTCCTGAATGGGATAGGACCCTTACTGGAGGCATAAGGTGGCATGTTATAATTGAAGTGTTTGTAACCATTGTGATTTTGTTTTGTTTGCATGCAATATGGACAGATAGTGGATACACAATTCTAACAGAATTGCAGACGAATATCTGGATGGAATAAATTAGTTTATTGATTTCACGATGGCACACAACCAGGGTTCACCTATAATTCGATGTCCCTGTAGGAACTGTAATAATTCAATGGTTGAAAATTATGAAAATGTTCGATACCATTTAGTAAGACATGGTATGATGGAGACATATACCACTTGGAATCATCATGGGGAATGATTGGTACATGCTTTATCTTGACATGTGAACCCATTAAATTGAGGCAGTTGAATCTTATGTTGATCCAAACAAACAAATTATGGATATCCTAGAAGATGCTTTTCCAAACGCCTCAACCAATTTTGACCAGGAAGGGGGAGATGAAGTCCCTTGAAGCATGGATAGTGGAGCATTTAAAAATTATGAAAAACTATTAAAAAGTTTCAAACAAGAATTATATCCCGGTTGCGAGGATTTTTCGGTACTAACGGCTATTGTGGAGTTGATGCATGGAAAAATAAAATTTCGTATGTCCAACCAGTTCTTTGATTATTTTTGGGCTTTTTCAAGAGGATGCTTCCAAAGGATAATTGTTTGCCTAAAGATCACAAAAATGCAAAGAAGGTGTTGAATGGTCTGGGATTAGGTTATGAAAAAATTCAAGCGTGCAAAAATAATTGTGTATTGTTCTATAAGGAAAATGAAGTATTAGATAATATGCAAAGAGTCGAGGTTTAAAATGATAGCTCAAAATAAAACGACAAGGATTTCACAAAAAATTATGCGTTACTTTCCAATAACTAAGAATTCCACCAAGAATGCTTAAGAATAGATATATAGTAAAAACTATTAAGCAAACAGACCCTTAATACAAACAGAAATCCGTTGCTGGTGTGGAAGCCAGACTTATCCTATAGAGCTTAAGTTGGAGAATACAAAAATATGTATGCTTTTAACTGATGGAAACACGCATGCAGAATGTTTTCGATTAGGTTGATAATTAGATTATGCTAATCATGAATTGATTAAGGTTAAGTGGGATAGATATGAATGGCCATGATTGCCCTCGCCATGATTGCACTCAATTGAGTGGGGTTGAAGGATGATGTGAGCTTCTTTGGCTAACAGAAGACTGAAATGGACTAACGATCATAGAGATGGAATAGCTTAGGGCATCTATATCTCTGCAGTTGAGGACATATGACTGAGATGTGTGGGGTTACATGGAGAAAGAGAGATGGGGACTTGATGATCAAATCACACAGAAAACTGCCTCCTCATCCCTTTTCTTTTCAGTTCACTAAAACCCTATTTCCCTCTCTCTTCATCTTCTAGACTGCTCTTAGGGTGTCTTGATTTATGTTCTTAGTATTATTATTGACTCATTGAATCTCTCTCTTTCTAGCTGGCATGACACACACACATAGTAGTATGACCATAGTGAAGTGAGATGCTCCTTGTTCTCTACTTTCACAAAGCAAAATATAAATAACATATTGCACATTCAGTACGTACTAGAGGAAAAAGATTTGGGAGGTCAGTCTAACGATCAGTTGGATTTTCATACATGTTCACAAAGAAACGGGCTCTATTATGCACTCATCCTTTGTGAGCGTATTCTGACTACTATATATTTTCTCGTAACATATATAGGCATTAGGGCTGAGAAAAAGTACCAGCAAACTGAAGGATCAAATCGAATTTCTAGTTCTGTTCATTTTCTTTTTTATACAATTTGATCAATTTGGAGCTGAATGGAACCAAGTTAACCGGTGAAGTTATGGTATCCTTACATGCATCATGTGTAAGTGCAAAATTTTTGCAAATATAAGTTTAACAAACTAACAAAGAAAAACATGAAACATGACGTGTAAGCGGAAACAGAAAAAGAAAACATGGTACATATGTTTTACAATGGTTACAAATGTTCATAGGTGCGTGCAGATGCTTATCTAATGTCTAGTTAGGCTGCTAACTTCGTACTGTGGGAACATGGACCAACCAAGGCAGCTAAAATATGATACCACATCCTCTCAAATCCCAACAATCCCCCATTCAAGATTGTCCAAAGCTATGGCCCCGTTCATTTGGATAATGCTGGGGTTGGCACCAATCAATTCTCATTTTCTGACCGACCCTTTGTATGGAAATCTGGTGGACATGCCACTATCAAAGTCTTTTATCAAGGGTTCCTTGTCACTTTATCTTTCTGTCTCTCTCTCTCTTTGGACCTTTCCTTTTTTCTTTATTTGCATCAGTTAGTGAAGGAAAGAGAGAGAGAACGTACCTTGTACTAGCAGCCAATGGCTTGCACTGACTTGTCCTTTTTTGTTTGGGTATTAAATCAAAACCACAACACTTGATCAATCTTTACAATTCCATACAAATTGCCACCTTGGAAATGCATGAAGAAAGAATATATGATGATGACTATGTTGATAACCAAGGATCCGGGTAAAATTGATGTTTATTTGTGGCCCTTTTTGGTATCATCAAGCTTCAACAAAAATATTTGGACAAAAATGTCCCCATGACAAAAAATTTCAAAGGCATCCCAAAATAATGCATCAAATAATGTAGGGGTATTTCCGTCATTTTAACCATACTTTTTTAAGCCCTTTTTGGTGTCACCAAGCTTCAACAAAAGTATCCCTAAGACAAAAAATTTCAAAGGCATCCCAAAATAATGCATCAAATAATGTAGGGGTATTTTTGTCATTTTAACAGTATTTTTTTAATAATTATATTTTTGTACTTTTTTTTTAATTAGTACCTCACAATAAAATAGCAATAATGTGATTTAATCAGCTATTAATTCCATATTATTTTCTCTTTTTTTAAACACGTTCAAAACATAAGAGGAGTGTAATGCCGGTTATAGAAAA